CAGATGTGAGACACATCCCGGACTTAAAAAAAATCTGATTTCTTTGAGTTCTTTGGATTCTATTGGGTGTTCTTATACTGGCGAAGGTGGAGCTCTTAGAGTTACTAAGGGTTCATTGGTTGTAATGAAAGGTAGTAAGGTGAACAATCTTTATGTTCTCCAAGACAGTACGGTGATAGGCTCTGCAAGTGTGTCCTCTGATGCTGATAGGGACACTACTCAGTTGTGGCACATGCGCTTAGGCCACATGAGTGAGAAGGGGATGACTATTTTGAGTAAACGTGGCTTACTCTGTGGTGACCATACATCATCACTTAATTTCTGTGAGCATTGTGTGTTTGGGAAGCAAACTCGGGTCAGCTTCTCGACTGGCTCACATACGACGAAGGGTACTCTCGACTACATCCATTCAGATTTGTAGGGACCTGCTCAGATTCCATCCAAAGGTGGTGCTCTTTAATTTTTAACGTTTATTGATGATTTTTCTAGGAAAATTTGGGTTTACTTTCTCAGGCGCAAAAGCGAGGTGTTCGAAACTTTCAAGAAGTGGAAAATACTTATTGAGAATCAAACTGGAAAGAAGATTAAACGTCTCCGAACAGATAATGACCTAGAGTTCTGCAGTGGTGAGTTCAATCAGTTCTGTAAACGTCTCCGAACAGATAATGACCTAGAGTTCTGCAGTGGTGAGTTCAATCAGTTCTGCTCAAATTCTGGGATCGTACGACATCGCACGGTTCAGTTCTGCTCAAATTCTGGGATCGTACGACATCGCACGGTCAGGCACACTCCTCAGCAAAATGGGGTGACAGAACGCATGAATAGAACATTGACGGAGAAAGCTAGGTGTCTGCTCTCAAACTCTGGGTTGGATAAAGACTTCTGGGTTGAAGCTGTTAACACAGCTTGTTACTTGGTGAACCGGTCTCCTTCTACCGCCATTGAACACAAGACTCCAAACGAGGTATGGTCAGGTAAACCAAATGACTATTCAAATTTAAAGGTATTTGGATGTCCCGCTTACTATCACGTTAGAGAGGGTAAGCTTGAGCCTAGAACTAAGAAATGCATATTTATTGGTTATGCTGAAGGCGTTAAAGGCTATCGTTTGTGGAGTCTTGAACCTGATTCTCCTAAATTCATTATTAGTAGAGATGTTACTTTTAATGAAAGATATATGCTTGATCATGGGAAGATTTTTGTTGAGTCTACAGGAAACGTAGGGAAGACCATGGATAAGGTGGAGCTTCAGGTGGAGCTCGAGGGAGAGACGTCTCAAAAGTCGTCTATAAAATTTGCTCCTATAGCTGTAGAAGAGGAACATGATTCAGGCTCAGATGCTGATGATGCTGAGACTGAAAAACCTTATTCGATAGCCACTGGCAGAGAGAGGAGACAGATCAAACCTCCTCAAAGATATGCACATGCTGAATTAGTGGCGTATGCTCTCACGACAGCTGAAGAGATGATGAGTATTCAAGAGCCATCAAACTTTACTGAAGCTGTCTCATGCGGAGAATCTGGATGTTGGGCCACGGCTATGACAGAAGAACTCGAGTCACTCTACAAGAATCAGACTTAGGATTTGGTGCAATTACCTAAGGGTAAAAGGGCAATAGGATGCAAGTGGATTTTTAAAAAGAAAGAAGGGATCCCAGGGGTTGAAGATGCTAGATTCAAAGCACGGTTGGTGGCTAAGGGTTATAGACAAAAGGAGGGAATTGACTATGATGAAGTGTTCTCTCCGGTTATAAAGCATACCTCCATCCGTGTATTGCTTGCCATGGTTGCTCTATTTGATCTGGAGCTTGAGCAGCTTGATGTGAAGACTGCATTTTTGCATGACGAACTTAAGGAGACTATCTATATGTCTCAGCCAGAGGGATACTTCGTAGAAGGTAAAGAAGATCAAGTTTGCAGATTAAAAAAATCTTTGTACGGCCTGAAGCAATCTCCCAGACAGTGGTACAAGAGGTTTGATAATTTTATGCTTAGTCATGGGTACTCAAGAAGTACTTATGATAGTTGTATGTACTACATGCATCTAGGAGATGATTCTTTTATTTATCTTCTATTGCATGTCGATGACATGCTTATTGCTGCTAAGAACATGTCACAGATTCTTATTTTGAAGAAACAACTCAGTGATGAGTTTGAGATGAAAGATCTTGGTGCACCAAAGAAGATCTTAGGTATGGAGATCAGGAGGGATAGGAAAGCTAGAACTTTATATCTCTCACAGAAGAGTTATATTGAAAAGATGCTTGAACGCTTTGGGATGAAAATGGCCAAACCCGTTATGACTCCTTTGGCTCCTCACTTTAGGCTCTCGACTTCAGATTCACCTACAAGTGAGAACGAGAAGAAGGAGATGTCCCGAGTTCCATACTTTAATGCAGTGGGTAGCATAATGTATGCTATGATTTGCACTCGTCCAGACATTGCCCAGGCAGTCAGTGTAGTGAGCAGATACATGGCTCAACCAGGGAAGGCACACTGGGAAGCAGTGAAGTGGATCCTACGGTATCTCAGGGGTACCTCAGATTTGGGTTTAGTTTTTGATAGCAGTACTTTGGGAACCTCAGTTGTAGGTTTTGTGGATTCTGACTATGCAGGTGATCTCGATAAAAGGAGATCTTTGACTGGTTATCTTTTTACTCTTTCTGGCTCAGCTATTAGTTGGAGATCGCCTCTACAGTCGACAGTTGCTTTGTCTACCACAGAGGCAGAATACATGGCAGCAGCAGAAGCGGTAAAAGAGGCCATTTGGTTGAGAAATCTCGTGAGGGAGCTTGGACTTCTACAGGAGGCTAGTTCAGTTGTATTTTGCGACAATCAGAGCGCAATACATCTAAGCAAAAACTCAGCACATCATGAGAGGACAAAGCATATTGATGTCAGATATCATTTCATTCGTGAGGCAACTGCTGAAAGAAATATTACGATGAAGAAGATTGGTACTGCAGACAACCCAGCTGACATGTTGACCAAACCGATCCTAGCCTTCAAGTTCAAGCACTGCTTGAATTTGGGAGGCATTCGCACTTGTTAAGTGACCCCTTTTGGGGTATTGTTTGCAAGACGGGTGAAAAGTCACTAGTTATGGATGTTTGAGAATTCAATCCGGGTTGGAGAGTATTCGCATTCTTATTTGGGTCTCGACTTGTTGTGGATTGAGTCCGTTATCGTGAATTGTTTCACGGTGTCCTGAACGCAACAAGTGAGACATTTGGATTGGATAGTGTTGGCTCAGTTTTTGGAAAACTTCACCGAGGTGGAGATTGTTGGTCAAAAACATCAAGCCACAAAAGTGTAGGTAGCGTGTTGACAATGACAGTGCTTGGTTTAAAAATTGAGTGCTAAATGAGAAACAAACAAGAATGGCCGCAGTTTTTTGACAAATATCCATCAGAAGAAGTAGAGGGGTTAGAAGAAGATATCACGAGTTGAAATCTTTTGTTTGTCAAATAAAGAGGCCGGTTTTGTTTGTTTCTCATTTAGCACTCAATTTTTCAACCAAACACTGTCATTGTCAACACGCTACCTACACTTTTGTGGCTTGATGTTTTTGACCAACATTTGGTTCGTCAAAATTCGGAAAGAAAGTGAGGGAAAAAATGAGTTGTCACCATATTATTGGATGAGATGAGTAATTTTTGATGTTTTCCTCCACTTTCTTTATTTTTTGTTCTTTCTTGTGTTTGGTTCATTCTTAAAACTAAGAAAATAAATAAGAGAAAATGAGCTGTCATTATATTATTGGATGATGTGACTCATACTTAGGAAAACCAATTTCTTTGTTTTTTTTTTTGGAGGAAATGGATGAAAGGAAATTTTAATGAGATGTGATGAGTTGTCACCATATTATTGGATGATGTGAGTAATTTTTAAAGATGGTAGAAAATAAAGAAAAGTTGGATGAGATGAGTTAGATGAGTTGATTGATGTGACTCATTTTTTGTGTTTAGTTTATTTTTAAAAGTAAGAAATGAGGATGAGTTGATTGATGTGACTCATTTTTTGTGTTTAGTTTATTTTTAAAAGTAAGAAATGAGATGTGATGGGATGAGTTGTCACAATATTATTGGGTGTTTAGTTTATTTTTAAAAGTAAGAAATGAGATGTGATGGGATGAGTTGTCACAATATTATTGGGGGAAGGTGGAGAAAGTAAAGAAAAGTGGGTTAGTAAGTTGGGGAAAGTGAAAAAGTGAAGGAAAGTGGGTTTTAGATTCTGGGGGAAACGAAACAAACAGGCCCTTAGTGAGAAAACCAAAGTCATAATGATCTCCAAAGAATTTCTGTAAGTAGTTAGTGAGAGAGAAAAAAAAGATATTTCCTCAAAAATGAGAAAATCACAAGATGAATAAGGAAATCTATGGATCAACCTTCCTGAAAATAAATAAAGGGAAGGGGAAAAAACAGAAAATATTCCAAAGGAAAACACATAAATTATTCAAACAACAGATACTCTTCTCAAGAAAATCAGGTACTAAATGCAACAATAGCTGTTATAGTCCCTCAAATGGAAAAATGCTGAAGGAAAAAGCCCCCAAAAAAACCATTTCCAAACTAAAAGTTATTCCGGGAAGGAAGCTCAATTAACAAAATAACCCAAGAAATGTAACTAATACTAGAACGAATAAGTATTTTACCAACACGGGCCAGCCAATGAGGGAGGGGAGTGGGGGGCGGGGGGGGTGGGGAACGCTGAAAATTAACAGAAAATGAGCAAACAAAATGAATATATTTAATCAAAATGGATTTGGACAGAGAAATTCCAAAAACCATTTCTTAGTTAAGGACAAATTCAATTGAAAAGGGAGGAAGATTGGCAGAAAGAACAAAAATTGAGCAACGTAGACTTCATCCAGACAACGAACAGCTAAAACAATGTAACCCATTTGCTTAAATCCAAAAACAGGTAAGAAATTGCAATCAAAATCAAATATTTAGATGCATATATTGCATAAATTAGATCAAAATGGGAGGGCGCCTGACCTTGTTCCCCAGCATCGCTGTCCTTCCTCTTGATGTATTTTCTTCCCTCCTTCCCAAGAAAAGATCCCAGCGTCCTCATTGATTATGATAAAAAGATCCAAACTTTGAAGAAAAATAAAGCATCACATTTGCATAGAGCAATCAATTTCGCCCCTTATTATTGCAATTTCTCCAAGGATTTACGAGGGACAGAACAGAAAAAGGAATCAAAAGACGAGAATATAATGGGTTTGTTTGGATTTTGTGAAAATAAAAAACAAAATAGAGGAGAGAGAAGTTTTAGCCGGTAAAATATTTCAAATCATACGAGGAATATATTTATTTGTTTTTTATATAGGTTACTATGTTATATAGATGGAGCTTTACCTGTAAACCCTCCAATCTATTTTATTGGCAGATTACCCTCAAAATCAGAATGTTAGCTATTTTCGTTATATTCTTTAACACCGAGTTAAAAGTATCCTTCGTAGGTAACACCATTTAATGTCTATTTGTTTACATGGAAGTGGCTATGAAGTATGTGAAGTAAATGAAATATGCAACATTTCTGTTACTTTCAAGAAGAAAAGTATATTTGTTTCTTTGAAAACACTACTTCCAATACTTCCTTAGAAGTTGACGTGTCACCTACATGGCATCTCTGCTTCTTGAATCTTTTTTCCTCCCCTCAAGGCTCCGAAGTACCTCGGAAGTAGATGAAATTGAGTCAATTTAGGAATAAAAATTATTATCATTATTATATGGATATTTTCATACTCTAAATAAAATCCCGAAAAATCATCTTTTTCTCTTCCTAACAATCATTATTATATGGATATTTTCATACTCTAAATAAAATCCCGAAAAATCATCTTTTTCTCTTCCTAACAATATTTATTATTGCTACCAAACAAAAAAAAAAATAAAATCCCGAAAAATCATCTTTTTCTCTTCCTAACAATATTTATTATTGCTACCAAACAAAAAAAAGTTAATGAAGTGGAAGAAATATTATTTCCTCTACTTTCAAAAGTTTACGACACAAACAAAAAAAGAAGTACTTTCGCTACTTCCTAATTCATAATTTCAGAAGTAGTAGATTTGATTTACTTCTTACTTGCATTTTTAAAGATTTTTTGCATTTTTAAAGATTTTGCTTATGTCTCCCCAAATAATATTTAAAATTTGTTATTCGAATCTGCATATTTACGAAGTTAAACTTATGAAGTTTGTAGAGTTATATGAGAAGATAAAAATCCAATGGCTAAGATTACGTGAGTAGATTAGAAAATGTGCATGTTTGGGGCTAAATATGCAAATAGAATAAATTATTTTCGGCTAAGATTATTGCTCTCTTGTTCAAGCAAAGGGCATCACTAAGATTTTGACAATGAAACTTATTTTTGGTTTGGTAGGGGTTGGAAGAAGGAAGGTGAGGGAAAGTACAATGAAGCCGAGGGATGAACATCTAAAGTTCTTTTTAAGCCTTGCCAAGCAAGTGATGGCTGTTGCATTAACGAATCATGTTGCCTTATTCTTAAGTTTTGCCACCTAAAGTTCGTTTATTTTCCATGATGGTCAAATAAATTGGTTGCCTTAGGCTTGAATCTATTGAAAAGGGGTGATCTATTTATTTAGCCCTTTCTTAACCATCTAAACAGGTTACTTTGGTCAAATGGCTAATTAACTCTTTGATGATTAAAGTTAGTTAACCTCTCATTTAGACAGGTTAAAAAATCTACCTAAAGAGGAGGGTTAAGCTACTCCCTCTGCCCCGTATGGTAAAGGATTAAGAAGCAATTGTTAAGGAGAATGGTTAACATAGTTAGTCTATTTTTCAATCTTAACGGTTAAATTTTTTAATCCGTGAGATTAATTTATTTTAATCATTGTTGTCATTTTTGTGTTTGGGAATAAAAAAATCATGACCATTTCCTTTATAAACAGAGGGGTAATCTTTTAATCCTTCTAAATTAGTGGATTTGTAAACCCTTCGTTTGGAGTGTTAGCTCATTTTAACCCCTCAAAAGGAATTTATAAACCATTCTACTATGTTTTGTGTTTGGAAAATTATGAAGGGTTAACTTAGTTTACACGCTATGTAAACTCCCCTTAACCCTTTGCTAAACAGGTCCTCTATAAATAAGAAATGAAAATTTTAAAAAATATACTTTAGAATATTTATGGTAACTAACATCATTAACTCTTCTTAATTTGTCAAACACTAAAAACTGAACCCTTCATTTTGACTATCAAATCTAAATGAAATTAAATTATTTTTAACATATGATGAAGGGTTGACCATGTTAGTTCTTGCCCTTAACCGTTCTTTCTTAACCCATTGTCAAACAGCACTGTAAGGATTAAGCGACTAGACCAAATAAGTCTGGTTTGATCGCGTTAAGAAATTTTAACTTTTTTCAGGGAAAAGATTAAGAAAATTAAACTATTATGAATAAAAATTGAAATAGCTCTAAGCAATAAGTGTATAGAATAAAACCTAATTATCGAATCAAGAAACACCGGCTTTTTACTGGTTATATAAAATGAATGTTAAATTCCACATGCTCAGTTTCAAAAGTGAGTAGCAATTATCTGGGGCAGAGATGATTATGAAGCAAAATGGATATGGGCCGAAATATTTGATGGATCAGGTAGGCCAACCCAGAGCCAATATATGCTTCATCTAATCAGCCGGCCTCTCAATTAGATCCCTAAAATGACTTCGAATCCATGACGATCAGGCTATTTAAAAATTTAGAATCTAATTGACATCAATAAAACTACATTAAGTCTATTTACAATTGTGTGATAATGTAGGGGCTCTTTCAACAATGAACAAATTTAGAATCAAGGTGAAAATTAATTGATCAAATATTGAAGTAGGATCTGTTGGTTTTGGTCATGTGAAGAACGAAACATGAAACAATTCTGCGATGCTGAAAAATCTCGGGGTCGGTCGACCGACAGAGGAGATCCGGTCGACCAAAGCGACTGCAGGAAACGAGGCTCGAAACAACGCTCTGACCGGTCGACCGAAGGCCTTGATCCGGTCGACAGATAACATGCACGAAGACCTTGTAAAATAGTGTGTTCTGGCCGGTTGACTGACACCCATGATCCGGTCGACCGGAATCGGTTTTTCCAGTTTCCTGATTTGTTTGGAAAACTGTTTTTTACCAGAATGCTATATGTACCTAAACGATTTTAGGGTTAAAAGCAACATAGAAAAAAAGAGGGTTTTGAGAGGATTCTTTCAGAGAGATCTTAGAGAGATAAAAACCTATTTGTGAGCATTGTAATCTTCTTCAATTAATCAAGTTTTTGTGGTGTGGCTCCCGAGGACGTAGGCACGTTTGCCGAACTTCGTTAAATCTGGTGTTCTCTGGTTTGATTATTCTTTCCTGTAAGTTTTTCCTTTTATTTGTTGTGATTTCCTGCTTGCCTACTTTCAGCACAAAATCCGGAAGGGCATGGGTTGTGTGTTCAACCCTAACAACTGGTATCAGAGCTTCGTTCAGAAGATTTGTGCGAGAGCCATGACAGAGGAAAACAAATCGAAGATTGAGAAGTTTGACGGGTCAGATTTCGCCTACTGGAAGTCGCAGATGGAGGACTATCTGTACCAGAATGATCTTTATCGTCCGTTGATGGGCAAGGATAAGGGAAAGAAGAATGAGGAATCAGACGAGTAATGGAAAATATTGTATCGAAAGGCTCTAGGGCAGATCCGATTGTCGCTCGCCAAATCAGTCACCCACAATATATTGAAGGAGAAGATGACTGTGAGGCTTATAGAAGCACTCGCGAAGATGTACGAGCAACCGTCAGCCGCAAACAAGGTGCATCTCGTCAAGACGCTTCAACCTCAAGATGGCAGAAGGATATTCCTTCACGTTGCATCTCAGCGAGTTTAACATGATTGTTGATCAACTTATCTCCGTGGATATCACGTTTGATGACGAAGTACATGCCCTATTGATTCTATTGTAGTTGCCAGATAGTTGGATAGGTTGCGTGATGGCAATTAGCAACTCGGCAGGGAAGGAGAAGTTGAAGCTGGGTGAGGTTGTTAGCATGATTCTATCCGAGGAGGTTAGAAGAAAATCGTCCAAATCAGAAGGTTCAGGTTCAGCCCTAAATCTCGAGCATAGAGGTCGAAGGCAGAAGAAGAGAAACCAGAATAGGAATCAGTCAAAGTCGAAGAAGAAGAAGAGGTTGAACTCAAAGGTTAGGCCTATTAAATGAAAGTATTGGAACTGCGACCAGGAGAGCCATATGTCTTCAGTCTGCAAAGCGTTAAAGAATGATGCAAATGAGCAGGAGGTTTATCTTGTGCAAGATGCCTTGATCCTTGCTATGGAGAGTGATTCTGATTCATGGGTAATTGATTCAGGAGCCTCTTTCCACGCCACTGCTAATAGGAAACTTCTTCAGAACTATGTAGTAGAGGACTTTGGGAAAGTACGTACTTAGGGGACAACGAGCCTTACGGTATTGTTGGAAGAGGTGATGTGCAGATTCAGATGAATGGCTCCAAGTGGAATCTGAAGAACGTCAGACACGTACCAAAGTTGAAGATGAATCTTATTTCGGTTGGCCAGCTTAGAGCGGAAGGCTATGTTTCGACATTCATCGAAGATTCGTGAAAAATCTCCAATGGTATTATAGTGGTTGCCCGTGGTAACAAAACAGGAACCCTCTACCTCACTTCACATGTGAGTGACACCCTCGCAGTTGCAGCTAGCAAGGAGAGTGCAGATCTGGGGCACAATAGGCTGGGACACATGAGTGAGAAGGGAATAAAGATTCTACACTCACAGGGAAAGCTAACCAGTAATTATTTAGTGGAAGTTGGTGTTTACGAGGATTGTATCTAGGGGAAGCAGAAGAGGGTCAGCTTTTAGAAAAGTGGAAGATCACCTAAAGCTTAGAAGCTTGAGCTTGTTCATACAGAAGTATGGGGTCCAACTAGCGTGTCTTCTCTAAAAGTACCCTAGAGGGGGTGAATAAGGTTTATGCTAATCTAATCCGATATTAATACCAATTAAAACTTATTAACAATTATATCCTAGCAAGTATAATAAACAACAAGATTATATACAAGGATATGTAAAATTAAAACAAGGGTGATATAAACATAAGATAAACAAAAGATGCAAATGTGATAGTATGCAATATAAATAATGAGCAATAGACAATGGTGAAATAGAAAGAACTAAACAATAAGCAAAAATGATACACCAATGCAAACTCAAACACATAAAAATAATCACGGAGTTAGTTCCTTCCGACCTACATCTCCGCTCCCC